GTTTTGACTGTCGCCTAGTTTTATCGTTTTTAAGCAGCCTAAGTAAGTCTAGAACCACCCCAAATAGAGGTCCAAAGCCTCCTGGACTATAGGCATGGGACGGGTAGTGCACGCATAAGGTACGATTTAGAATTAAATTAGAGCGCCTTTAAGTAAACAACTTTAACATAGTAATTGGGTAGTAGGAGATGATAGTCTGTGCCCACTGAATAATACGAGCAACCCTTATGTTAAGGGAGTTGCGAAGCATTATTTATGTTGCACAGGGTGATCCTTTAGGCTAAAAAACTTAGGATCTCCCCCTCTCATTTCCTTTATGAATTTGTTATCCACACTTAGTCATTCGATATAGACCAATGTAGTTATATCATAATAGTCATTAAGATTTGTACCAATTCTCGTATGTCATAATAAACTCTCCGACCTTTTTATTCTCTTTGTTTATTTGATCATCTCGCCTAACTATAATCCACATAGTCTTAAGTTTGGCCGGGACCCACAGTTGTGGACCTCGAAGAGTGCCTAACACCTTCTCTTTGAGGTAATTTGAGCCCTTACCCGATCTTTGGTGGTATTGACTAGTCAAACAGAGTTATCTGTATAATAGGTGCCCTAACGCACCTTAAAAATCGTTAGGTGATGACTCTTCTCTTTAACACTCTATCTTCCATTTAAAAGAGTTGTCACACGTTGAGGCCCGCTTTCGCAAAAAAAGGGGCGCGACAACAATCAAGCTAGAAACTATGAGAATACTATTTAAATCTAATCCCTGCCGATATTATACTATACTATCTTTGACTAGCGAGCACAATTTAAGTGTGTGTTTTGCGCTCGTCAGTATCCAACGATCTGCCCATGGCCTCGATCCTCAAACCTTAATCCTTTGCCTAGAGCTGATTTTATATACCAAAGAATGCGGACAACAACATCCCAATGACTATCACAGGGAGAATACATAAACTAACTCACAACACTCACATGAAAGGAAATGTAAGGTCTTGTCACTGTGAGGTATTTAATTTACCAACCAACCACCTATATCACGCAGGATCACTAAGAGGCTCCCCATGTCCTGACAGAAGTTTAGAATTCAGATCTATTGGAGTGTTAACAGGTCTACAACATGTCCTTCCTGTCTCCTCAAGAATGTCTAAGGCACTTCCGTTGTGAGATCCCAATACCTTAGCTAGACCGAGAGACCTCAACACCCAGAAAATACTTTAATCTGCCCAGATCCTTAGTCTGAAAGTGCTGAAAGAGATGTTGCTTCAAATTAGTAATACCATCCTCATCATTGCCGGTAATAACAATATCGTCAACATAAACGACCAGATAAATACAGAGATTTGAAGCAGAATGCCGATAAAACACAAAGTGATCATCTTCACTTTAAGTCATGCCAAACTCGTGAACAACTGTGCTAAACTTACCAAACCAGGCTCGAGAAAACTGCTTTAGACCATAGAGGGACCGACACAACTGAGATATAGGGCCAATAGACTTACCCTGAGCAATAAAACCATGTGGTTGCTCCATGTAAACCTCATCCTCAAGGTCACCGTGAAGAAAAGCATTCTTAATGTCCAACTGATAGAGAGGCCAATGGTGAACAACAACCATGGATAGAAAAAGGCGGACTGATGCTATTTTAGCGACGGGTGAGAAAGTATCACTGTAATCGAGCCCAAATATCTGAGTATACCCTCTGGCAATAAGACGAGCCTTAAGTCGATCAACCTGGCCATCTGGACCAACTTTGAATGCATATACCCAACGACAACCAACAATCGATTTACCCAAAGGAAGAGGAACAAAATCCCAAGTACCACTCGTATGTAAAGCAAACATCTCGTCAATCATAGCCTGTCGCCACCTTGGATGAGACTAGACTTAGGGATGGAAACAAAGGACAAAGATGATACAAATGCACAATGGGATGATGACATATGATGGTAACTTAAACCGACATAATGTGGATTAGGATTAAGTGTGGATTGTATAACTTTTCGCAGTGCAATCAGTTGACTAAGAGGAGACAAGTCCGCAGTATTAGCAGGGTTAGGTGCATGATGTGGATCAGCTGGGCCTGGTGCTGGGCGCGGACGATGATGATAAGTCATAAGTGGTGGAGTTGTAGAATGTTGAACTGGACTAGGTGGTGGCACTGGAGCTATAGGTGGTAGAACTGGAGCTATAGGTGGTAGAGCTGCAACTGGAGATGTAGGTGGTGGAGATGCAACTGGAGCTATAGAGGAAGATGAATGGGAGATAGTGACTGAATCTCAAAAAGCTGGAACTGGTAGCACCTCAGAAATATCTAAGTGATTACCTGGACCTGTGAAGTATGATTGGGTTTCAAAGAAGGTAACAACAACAAACATAAGGTACCGCTGGAGGTCAAGAGAATAGCATCGATATCCTTTTTGCGTTCTGGAGTAACCCAGAAATACGCACTTAAGAGCATGAGGAGCTAACATATATTTTCCTAGAGTAAGGTTATGAACAAAATACGTGCTCCCAAAGACACGGGGTGGATGAGAGAACAAAGGTAAATGGGAAAACAGGACAGAAAATGGAACTTGATTCTGGATAGCTGAAGATGGCAAACGATTCATAAGATAGAAAGATGTAAGAACTGCATCTCCCCAAAAACGCAATGGTACATGAGATTGTATGAGTAGGGTACGAGCAGTTTCAATAAGATATCTATTCTTTCTTTCTTTCAGCTACCTCATTTTGTTGGGATATATACGTACAAGATGTTTGATGAATAATCCCATGAGAGTTCATGAACTGCTGAAATGGGAAAGACATTACTCTAGGGCATTATCACTACGAAATATATGGATAGAAACCCTAAATTAATTTTGAATTTCAGCGTGGAAGGTCTGAAAAATAAAAAATAACTCATATCAGTTTTTCATAAAAAATATCCAAGTGCACCTGGAATAATAATCAATGAAATTGACAAAGTAGCGGAATTCCAAGGTACAACTGACCCGAATAGGACCCCAAACATCTGAATGGACTAAAGTAAAAGGTGACTTTACTCGATTATCAAGACGCCGAGGGAAATGGGAGCAGGTATGCTTACCGAACTGACATGACTCACACTCTAGAGTGGACAAGTGAGATAAGCCAAGTACTATTTTTTAAAGTTTTGACAAACTGGGATGTCCCAATCGTTTATGTAATAAATCTGGTGAATTAATAACATGATAAGTTGTTGAAGAAAGACAAGATGTGAGTCCATGTGATTTTGTAAGATAAGGTAACAAAGTCCATCTGATTCACGCTCGGTACCAATGATCCGCCATGTACTGCGTTCCTGTATAAAAACAAGGTCATCAAGAAATAAAACAGAGCATTTAAGTGATTTGGCTAAGCGACTAATGACTATGAGATTAAAAGGACTAACGGGAACATAAAGAACTGAATCTAAAGGTAAGGAAGGAAGTGAACTTGCTTGAGCTATTCCAGTTGCCATGGTTTGAGACCCGTTGGCCATTGTGACTGTTGGGAGAGATTGAGAACATGAAATAGTATTGAAAAGAGATTTGTTACCAGAAATATGATCAGATGCACCTGGATCAATGACCCAAGACTTAGAGGTTGAAGATTGGGAGACACAAGTCACGCTACTATCTGTTTGAACAGCGAAAGCAATCCCTGAAGATGTCTGTTTACATACTTTGTACTGAAGGAACTCAATATAATCTGGTAGAGAAACTATCCGACTATTCATATTATTGGATCCCATTTTTCTACAACCAATTTCTCAAATTCTTGATAAAAGTTGTATCGTTAACCTTGGAATGCCAAATTAGAACACCCTTTTTTTTTTTTTTTTAGAAAA